TCGAAAGAATAATACCGAATGCTTCCATCTTCGATATTTTTTCTTAACCATTCCCCATCGGACTGACTTGAGGTCATATTTGTTGCTGCTATTACAATACTCGATACGCATACCGCCCTAATTATACTGTATCACCTGATACAATGATTGATTGGCTGACACTTTGAGCCGTTAAATGTAAACCGAAGATGGATAAACCGAAGGCTAAATAAAAAACCGAAGGTAAGTTCTAAAACCTCTATATTAAATTTACTATTACCCCATAAACCGAATTTACTAATTAAGCAATAAATAGCATATCGCAAATTGTCAATTATGTTTACCGTATTACTGCAATTGACCGCATTTTTGTTGACAACGAAGGTAGATTTAATAGGTTTGATTATCGTTATGACTATTAGTACGTAATAAGAAGCTGGTCTTTCTAACTTGTTTTCTTGTTATTGAATCTAGTACTGTACAGTTTTTGAAAGGTGTGAGAATTAAGGTACAACTTATTATTCCTTACTCGGATATAAACGACATATAGTCAAGTCGAATTGACACACTGTTCGTTATTCTAAACAAACTGACAGTCTAATTCATTGATACATTGTGATCTCATGACGGAAACATAGTTTTGCATGTCATATACTGTACATCCATATACAGTATATGCGATCTTGGTCTCTCTCGATAGTGAATCAAATTCAAGCATTCGGGGCGTTTACCCATGTGCGCAAATCAGAAATCGGACATATATTCTTTTGGTATGATGCATTTGGTTGCCACGGTGAATCACCTTTTAGAGACTGGTGATATTATGTGGACTGCGACCATCGATTGATTCGGCGCCAGATGAATGCAAGAAACTTGCTGAGCAGTATTACAGTATAATACTACATGACTCGAAAAGGCTTTTGATCCAGGGGCGTGATACAATCATCCTTTCGGATAGAAATCAAATCAAAAACCTTCTACCGCAGTAAATTTTAGTAATTAGTCGATTGTGTTACATAGCTGTGGTCAACTGCAAATAAAACCTCAGTCGATTGTGTGACGATCAAAAAACTATCAATATTTGTCAAGATGCATTGTTGCTTTTCGGATTTAAGTCTCGGTCACCTGATCTTAAATGGCAATACTGTAATCTCATAAATAAGGGCCCCCCTTCATCATATGATATTAATGCGACTTTATTTCCAAGCTACAATATCCTGTTGACAGGCTTGCTAAAGCTAGTTTTAACACAACAGTAAGAGTCAGAGGAGGAAGGCCATACATGGTAGAATTCTAATGAGAGTATAAGATAATGGTAGCTATTTGAGAGGGAGAAGGCCAATGTGGAGTGGGAGGATGTAATAGTAAGTGTCTATATGCTATAAGGAATGATAATAAAGGATTGAGAGATTGATCTGAGGAGAAAAGAGGAGAATGAAGAAGAGTAGAAGGGTTTGAGTTATGATGGAAGTAGTTACATAGTTGGATGATATGTGACCATATGAGAGAAGCATGAGAGCATGAGTGGAACAGATGTGAAATAGAAAAAGGGAAATGATGGCATCAAGGACATGAGGAAGAAGGGGGACAGATTTTGAAGACTGCTAAACCAATTGGGAGAATTTGGTGACCAATTTTCCAGAGAAGGTCTGAGACTTTTCTAGGGTAATTAGGATTATGAATTTCTTTCTGACCAATGTAATGAGAAGGAGAGAAGGAGATAGTGGTAATAGAGAGTTATAATGCATAATATTATGGAGAGAAGGAGGTAGGGAAGATGTTGCACAATGAGAGGAGTTTATCTATGAATATTAGCAAATAAAGAATTTGGGATCGCGGTATTAGGTATGGCAATCTTATTTGTGTAACTAAATGAAGTAATGGGCAGAGTTTAACACACTAAGATTAAAACGACTAATGTTAATTACGTCTGTGCGAGAGTGTGTGTAAACAAAGTTTACTAGTTATGTGTCTAAAGGAAATCGAAAAGGAAAAGACAGATCGAGACAATACAAATTAATCAAATAAAATGGAAAAGACAGATGGATCCAATACAAATTAAGCAAATAAATGGAGGCCAGAACATCTTGATGCAATTATTGGAACAATCAAGCGGTAAAAATCGATATGGGAGGGCTTCGGTGAAGCTAGCGTTTTTAGCAAGTTTTTTTTTACTAGATGTGTTCGTTTGTTTATCTACGAACACGAATGAAATATAGCAAATGCAATCTGATTATTACGTGTAATTAAATAAAGCAATGGGCGGGAGTACGTTTTTATGGGTAATAAGGAGAGACACACACGCGTACGCGGAAATTAATGGGGTATACCCATTTTTTCTGAGTAAAGTCGCATAAACAGATTTTTGTGATAGTAATGAAATAGCAACATAGAAATACAAGTAGAGTGTTAGTTATATCACGGCACGACAATAAGCAGAAGGATAGGCATTTTCAAAGTTACAAAGCGACCAAAAATCTTGTTAAGAATTGATAAGCATGAACAAATATAGTAACGGAGTCAACGATTTTTTCTTTTTCATAAGCTGTAAATTGTTAAAATTTAAATTCAAAAAGATTATAAAAACACTGATAATTCCTTGGGAGGTAGGGCGGGGGAGGTTATGTCAGTCGTTATGCATTACCGTTATGCATTATGAATATAGTATATAGATAAAAACGGTCGGATAAGATCTACATTAAAATTACGGAAAATGGGTATTTGAAGGTCAGCGCGAAAGCAATTTTAGAAATGAAGAACTCAAACATCTAATGAAAAGCAAGGAAAACGTAAAAAAGGGAAAGTACGTGCATGAGCCTGCATCAGGAGATAGCGACAAAAATGTACTTTACGTTAAAAATTTAAATTTAGTATTACATAAATATACATAAATAAATAAATAATTCCATGTTTCAATACCACGCTAAACCTACAGTAAATTCTAAACTTATGGCCGTTCTTATCACCATTTTTATTATCAATGTTCTACTCTAAAATACGACCTTGATATTCTACAGTTAATACTAGTACATTATCACAATAACTCATACCATATCCTACATAACACATTAATATACTGTAAGTATTAATACTGATTACAAGAGGGGCGAAGCCCCCCCAAAGATTAAGTCCTAGTTTGTTCATTTAAATTCAACTGCAATCCACGTATTTGACGTTAATGAAGAATACAAGCAAGAAACTAGACTTTTCAAAGCAAACGGGATATTTCTCAACTTCGCTAATGAACCCATAAAAGTGTACATTGAAGTCTACGTCCCTAAGGAAAAACCCTGATTGGCTCGCCACTACGTCTTTTTCATCGGACGACGTAATCGAATTAGCTGGGACTATTACTGGTCTCCCGTACTAAAAGTATGGATTAATTTTATTATCATATGACATAACCCATTCCTCTTTTAATAAATTATACTTACTTCCTACCAGGTAAACGCATATAAGTGTCATGTATCAAAAAGTATCGTCAAACATGGCATCATAAAACCAACCGCTAACATATACCATGACATGGTCGTTTTAACTATTCAAACCTCCCAATACGTCTCCGGAAGCCAATCAACTATAAAAACAGTAGACTTCGAAATAATAATCCGTCATCATGTCAACAGAAAATACCTTTACAAACGAACAACGAAAGCAAAACTCGGTTCAAAAGTTTCCCTTATAGGAGAATTAGATATCCACAAAGATAAATTGTGTCCCGAACTTCACAATTTTGATTTTATATCCACGAACACCACTCAATATACGTACCTCCTCATCCTCATCCTCATCCTCATCCTCATATTCTGTCTCTGAGAAGAGAAGTCTTCTATACGAATCATTAACTACCACTACCAAGACAAAAACCTCTCCCCCACGAAAATAAAAATCAAATCCGAAAAAGATTTATCTACGTCGTCATCAACAGAAAAATTCACACCCACCGAAGATAATCTAGTAGTGATCCACCCGCAACAAAAAAACCCCCAGCTAAACGAGAGCTACTCTCATCTACAAAAATAAAAAAGCTTTCCGATTTAGTGTCTACCAAACTGATGTTACCTCCTTTTTAAGAACAAAACTGATATCTATTTATAAATGTAAATGAACAATAATCTTACATAAGTTAAATATTTTACTTAAAAGTCTTCTGAAGATCAACGTTAAACAGAATTTTAGTTCCGATAGTGCAAACGCTTTCTTCCTGACTTTCTCAATGTCTAATCAATATGTATTGTACAAGATCATAATAAATACTATTTGTCTTGAGAAGACGGTCACATGTTATAAATGCCACTGGCATTCCACACCACAATTACTTATCCCACTATATGAACAAGTACAATATCAGACTGTGACTTTATAACAAATATAACAAATGAATACTATCAACCTACAATAATCGACAAAGGCGCAGCCCCCAAAGAGATAATATTCTAGTTTTAGTATTAAGGTCGGACTTTTTTGTCCGATGAACGTTTATACACTAGTCCAAACTAGTCTATTTCATAGATGAATATGCTGTACTACTATTAAGTGCATCGCTTCGCTTTACGTGTACATTCCCCAAACCCCCCAAATACGCCTGCGCAAGTGCAATATGGAAAAAGTCTCTCTACTCCGAATTCCACACATTTGAAACGCTATTAAAATGAAAAAATTGGCTGCTCTCCTGGTTGCTCTTGGCAGCGTTTTCATGGCCAACGCTTACTGCATTTATAACAATGCCAGTATTCCAGTTTATGTAGAAATTGGTTCTGACCCTTTTACTAGCTTCAAACAAACTATTGGCCCAGGACAAAACGGTTGTTGCAATTGGCAAACTGAAGGCTGTAATCCGAGTACGAACAGAGATGAAGCTTTACCTATGATGATTTCAAGCGCTTGTGGGTGTTATAATCAAGGGCAGGTTATTGCAGGTCAGTTGATATCTTTTACGTATTAATGTTGTTTAATGTAGCGGTCAACATATGAACATATCTCCATAGGTTACTCGTGTACGTTTTTTGGTGATAACAAGAATTGCCCTAAAGATCAACCCACTTCTATGAACGTCACTTGCGAGTGAGTAATAGATTATTTCTAATGAGAAAGGGTCACGCTCCTATCTAATTCACCCTTTTATTTATAGCGGTTTTGGTACAGATGTGCGAACAAATGTGCTTATAGGTTGTTAATGGGCGCTTTTTTCCCGATTATTGTGTGACAAATATGAGGGGCTTCGCCCCGTATTGATCTGTTGAGAAGAACCATTGTAACATAATGTATGTAAATAGTGGTTATTATATATTTGTGCGACAGAAAATATATGTATTTATTGCTTACGATAGTGATTGATGAAATTATAAAAAAACATCTTTTACGATTTCTGATATAACCGTCGCCTGTTTAACGCAAATCTAATCAAACCATTGTCGTTGCTCACAACACTCGACTAACCGACTAATAAATATACAATCATGTCTCGTCTCGTCCCGTTAACTAAAATAGTAATGGCTGGCAATAAAGGAGGCACAGGGAAAACCACTATTTATTGCCGCCTTATCTATCAAAAAAAAAGTTAATTTAATTAACACCACTGAAAGTGTATTCAAAGATCTCCGAAATTCGCTCGAAGGGAGGCACGACAATGTTACTTTTTATACTCTGCCGTATACGGTTATGACTGTGGCACGATTTCATTGACTGAGTCGTGTCTCATTTAATATCATCTGACATCTGCGCTTTTGGCACGACATTATATAGTAACACATTCTGATGCGTTGTGGTACCACATACGTTGATCGCAATACAAGCGTATCAGCATTGAGACAACGACATACTTCTTCGTAATTAAATATCGCTTTGGTTTCATCAGACCTGTTTACGACTATTATTAGCCCCCTGTCGATAACATGATCCTATTGGAAAACAGTAAATACTGCTTCGGGGTTTCAGTGAACTTATCCTGTGTACAATGTCGAGCGTTCTTTGATTTGTTCTTGCGTGGTACCACTGAGTCATTCGGTTATATAAGGAAAACTCAAATAATTAATTTATTTTTTACAAGAGCCAGTGGTACCACAAAAAAAGTATGTTGTAAACCGCCCACGATTACCAGTCTTTTCATGATATATTAATCTGCAGTGGTACTACAGCCTGAACTGTGTTTGAGCCGTGGTTAAATAATCCAATATAAATATCTATGGAAAAAGACGCATCACAGTTAAGTCGCGGTTGAGTCGCGGGTTTGATTTTGTGTAATGTAGACGGACAATCATTTACGTCTGTTAATAGACGAAGAAGAAATCAAAATGCCGAGTATCACGACATTCTGGAAGTAGTAGAACAAATTTTTGGGACAGGTTGCGAATAAAATCAATCAGGAATTTAGTACCAAGTATACAGGGGTTCAATGTAATCAAAATTTGTAAGAGATTATACCGTAGGTGTTTTCTGTAAAACAAGGGGGTTTTGCCGCCTCACTACTTTTGTAAATCAATCGTTGGATGCTACCAAGAAATAAGAAATTGAAATCAGGTGATTGTCGAATAGGGAGGGGGTTGATCTTTTATTTGTGTTAAATAGAGGGAAACGCCCCGTATACTCCGTTAGTGCATGTAATTAAGCCGCCTTGTATCGGAAATCGTAGACGCATGACAGCCAATTGCAAATGAATAATTGTTGAAAACCGTCTCGACAATTATTACGATCGTAAAGCCACAACAAACAATTGAAAATTAAAACAGCCTTTTACAATGTCGATTGATTAAATACATTTACCCAAAATGGTAAGCCTACCAGCCATTATAATATCAATTTTCAAACCGTTGTCGACTGTTTATTCCGGAAAAACGTAAAAGATGATCAGAAATTAAACCCGCTTTCTTCGCAATATCGATCGATCAAATGGATTTGCCCAGAATATCTAATAGCTTCTTTGCGCTCACGCTAAGCTTATCAGCCATTACAATATTAATTGTTCAAATTCGGTTCTTATCCAAATTTGTATTTGTACCAAGTTGTATCATTCAATGATTCAAACTAATGGGAATAATTAATTGTACGCCAGTTGAATAAAAATAATATTGTTAACTTATTTAGTCAATTAGAAACATTATAAATGCGCGACTAAATAATTGTAAATTGAATTCTGCAACTCACTGTTATAAACAGTCTAATAATCATGACATAGAGAATAATCAATATCGTTGATCTATCCGCCTTACAACAAGAATACGAGACTATCATAGATTTCACCGCTGCTAATTATCCGTCTTTTCTCTTTTGCCAGAGGCATTTCCCCTTACCCTACAAAACGTATCAATAAATTCTTCACAACCTTTTCATACTGTAGTATCAAGATCTGCAACAGTCGAATTGCAATATAATGCAAATAACTTATCTCATGTTCAATATTGACGTCCGTCATCTCGCTTAATTAATTCGTCCGCCGTCTGTATATTATCATTTTTTATTGCTGATATTTTTTGCTCATCTAAAACACAAATATATTGTTTGGTCAGTTTCAGTTTAGAATGTTAACTTTTCTTAGAAAGTGTCGTTTTTTTATTTAATCCTTTTCTCGTTGAATAACCTCAACGATCAACCAGTGGGAACTCTAGGAAACAGTACTTTTTATTATTGCGAATATATACGATTTGCACCTCAAAGCTGTTTTTCTTTTAACATCGTTATCTGTATAATGATAATAAACAGTAATGGGTTTGAGCGTTGAGCATTTCTCCATCCTGCGTATACACTTACCACCATAAAATCATTATCTATTGTAATTATCTATTTTAGTATCATTCTACGCATGTAAAACACAGTTTACTAATTAATTAAAAGGAATTATCTTATTCCATCCATATGTTTGAAATTTATTTCCGTATTGTACACAGTTTGCCACGTAATTGTTGTGCTGAGGAGGCGAAGCCTCTTAAATTAATTTTCATTCTAGTTTATTCATAAATTAGATTTAAATTAACATAGTAATAGATCTAAACAAAGCCACTATTTATTATGTTGGCTGTTAAATAAAAAACTTTTTAATGAATTAAAAAAATACTGGCCGCCATTATTTTCGCCGGAGACTCAGTATTAGAGTTGTCACGTGCAATGTAACACAATAAGTTGAGAATTCTAAAAAATTTTTTAATTCAAACTATGTCGTTAACGTCAGGGGTTATTAATAATCCAGCAATTGACAACTTGGTTCAATCCTCCTTGAAAAGTAAAAATGAATTCTTAAGACTTGAATGGATTCCTTACGAGGAAATCACCGACATAAAACCAACTCAAATTGACAACGTCTACAATGCTACTCGCAAATGCACAATAACACTGGTATGCCTTGGTAGTAGCGAAGAATGTACACCAACTCTTGTGAATGAGTTTGCTAGAATATACTCACTTTCAACACAGGATGACAATGACGTTAATCAGTTCATAAGATATTCCAAATGGCTCACTTATCGCAACAGACTCATAGAAGGATTTACCAAGTATGACGATAAATATTATATGATTGCTAATAAACGCTTTATCGATTGTTACTCTCGATATGGATTCTGCTTCGCATGTGGAATACTACGATGTAGTCCCGTGTGGTGCATCTGTGGTCATCAACAATTATCCGATGGATGGACTAGCAACAATAAGCAACTCGATGAGTTTATTAAGAAATCTCAATTACAAGCAAACTCACCAAATAATGCCTATTTGGAATGGATTCCATACAATTGTATTTATGATTATGGGGAAGATGGTATACTTAGATGGTCTACCTACTCGTGCAGAGGTTAAATTAATTCTACTTGAGATAACAGATGAGACACATGATTATATTATGCCGAGGTAAACTATTTACTTATGCGTCATGTTTATTGATTAGTTTAAATAATTATTGACTTTTATGTATCATTTCCACTAGTTATGTGATAAGTATCACAGATGTTTGGATTACCATCGGATTCACATATGATGCAAGTAAACAAAAGTATTGTCTAATAAAAGAACGCAATGGGATTGGTTTATGCCTGGCATGTACGATGCAATTAGAACCTGAGATAAATGTATTCTGTTGGAGGTGTAAAGCGCCACGACCTGTTGATTGGACGACTGGCAAGTCATTGGATTCATTGATTATGGAATCATGGAAGAACACAAAGAACGTATGCGATGCATATATTGAATACTCTCTATTATTAAATATACAAGAGATGACATCATTGCGCCACGGATGCACACATATAGCAGATTGGTAATCGATGAGAGTGATATTCAAACCGATAGCTGATACGCAGTCGTTTGTTTGTCACTGCAACAATGACTGTACCACTTATTCTTTTGAAATCCGCAGCTGCGCTGGTGTTACCGCTGATCGATTTGTGCTGCGGCATCGTCGGAATAAACACCGTCCGTTTATAGCGTAGAATCGCACATGACAACTTGGTGATAATTTGATCAATTCAAAAATAACTTCCTTTCTGTTTACTCTTCAAGTACTTCTTACTTTGTTTAACTACTTTATTCTATACAAAATCGTGTCATCCCACTAGTGACTGGGTCCTTAACAAGAACACACAAATGTGACGGTAAGGATTTAAGATTTTCATTTTGACAAGGATAGAAAGAGACACGAATTAACAGTACATAGTTATGATAAGCTAAAAAGATACGGAAGATATTTTTCTGCTGCAATATTAATGTAGTAAATATTAAGCTAGTTATATACTAACTTTCATTTGCATAAGGCGTTCTATTGAAGTGGGAAGTATGTCAGGATCAGAACTATCCCGAGGAAGATAAAATTTCCCTAAAAGAATCATCCGATAGACAGCGTCATATTTTAAATCTATAACATTGAAAACCTATTTACAAGAATGCAGGTTAGATTATAGACGTTAATGTTATTTAAGAAACGCCATTGTAAATAACTTACCTTCTACCAGTAAACCACAAGTTATTAAATAGCTATTTTTCACTCCATCATCAATACATTTGTCAAGTATGTCTTTCATTTCATTTCCCAATTTCACGAGATCACAATCTTCCAATGTGATTTTATTTAATAACGAGTGCGATGATGGGAAGAGTGAGAGTGATGAGGAGTAGTGATGTAGAGAGCGAGAGTAGAGAGAGTATGAGAAAGAGGTGGGAGGACGTGGTGAAGCGGTGTTGGTTTCAATTGGTG